CTTCGCGGGAGCGAAGCTGTGGAGAAGGAGGGAGGGATAGTGGGAGGGAGGGAGATGAGGGGCAGAAGGGTAGAAGGACGAGGCGAGAGGCGCACAGGACCCCCGGATACAACCTCCAAGCACCCCAAACAAGAACAATCATAAAACGACTCCTGAAGCCCGCCTTCTTCTGTTCACCACTTCCTGCTGGAGGGCGAGGAGGTGGAAAAGTCCAACCGACTGGGCGGATGGAGCGCCCGCCCTGCCCTGCGCATGCGAAAACGAAGACACCCCTCCGCCATGGAGTAGAACTACACCAGAGAGAGCCCCAATCAGTGGATGGGCTGGTATGGCTGCACAAGTACAATTATTCCCTCTATACATAGAAAACTGATCCGGCTAGACTGCGGGCCTGGTGGGGGCCGCTGGGTCTGGAGCATCCCTGGAGGGCGTAAGACGGCCCCAGATGGCCCCCAGAGGGCCCCAAGACGGGCCAACAGGGCTCAAGGCGCCCAAGATGGCCCCAAGACGGCCCAAGAGGCCCCCCAGACGCCCCAAGAGAGCCCCAAGAGGCCTCCCAAGAGAGCCCACAAACCGCCCAAGCCCCTCAGAAAAATAAAAAAAAAAAAAAAAAAAAAAAAAAAGATTTCTAGCATATACGATGTGTGCACTTTCTTTCCCAAGCTCCAAGACGGCCCAACACGCCCCCAAGACCGCCCCAAGACGACCCAAGAGGCCCCCAAGACGCCCCCACGACGGCCCAAGAGGGCTCCAAGACGGCCCAAGAGGCGCCCAAATCGGCCAAAGAGCGCCCCAAGACGGCCCCCGAGACCGCCAGCAGGCCCCCAACAAGCCCCAAGAGTCCAAGAGGCACCCCCGAGGCCCACAACAGCCCCGAAAGGCCTCCAAACGGCCCCCAAGAGGCCCCAGGAGGCGTCCTGAAAGGCACCAGCATCTCTAACCCCGAAGCTTACAAAGGACCGCGCGCCATATTTTCCCCCCCGATCATGTACTCAACCGAGGACACAATTAGTACGGCGACGGTAAGAAAGTCAATATGTATATACACATGTGTGTATATGTAGATCCATGCATGTATATCTATATAAGCGTAGAGATATAAGTGGGTAAGTGCTGTACGCATATGTATATATAATGTGTGTAAGTGCTGTGCGCACATCTATCTATCGATCTATCTATCTATATATCTATTTATATATATATATATATATATATATTATATATATATATATATATATATATATATATATATATATATAATATATATATTTATATATATATATATATATATTATATTATATATATATATTATGTACATACATACATACATGAGCCGTGTGCATAGCCTTGCACAAAAAGGAAGGAGGGGGAGAGGAGGAGGAGGAGGAGGAGGAGGAGGAGGAGGAGGTGGAGGAGGAGGGGGGAAGAGGGGGCAAGGCATCGCCCTCTGGGCCCAGCAACGGGGCCCAAGTCCCAGGTGGGGAGGGTGGGGGAGGCGGCGTGCGTCGCGACGCGGAATAAAGTGCTCGGAGCGGAGGGAGCACGGGGCGGAGGTCCCACTGGGGCGCTGGGGGCGCGGAGAGGAGGGGGGTGGTGTGTGCCGCGACGCGGAATAAACTGTCGGGGCGGAGGGGGCACTGGGCGGGGCTTGGGGCAGAGGGCCACGGGGCGGGGGTCCAACTGGGGCGCTGGGGAAAGGGGGGGAAGGGGGGGAGGTGGCGTGCGTCGCGACGCGGAATAAAATTGTCGGGGCGGAGGGGGCACGGGGCGGAGTCCCCACTGGGGCGCTGGGGACGCGGGGAGGGAGGTGGGGGAGGTGGTGTGCGGCGCGACGCGGGATGAAGCGTTAGTGGCGGAAGGGGCAGTGGGCGGGGCCCCCGCTGGGGCGCTGGGGACGCGGGGGGGCTCGGGGCAGAGAACCACGGCGCGGGGGTCCCACTCTGGCGCTGGGGACGCGGAGGGGGGGGGTGCGACGTGTAATACAGCGTTCGTGTCGGAGGGGGCAGTGGGCGGGGGCCCCGCTGGGGCGCTGGGGACGCAGTGGGGCTTGGGGCAGAGAGCCACGGCGCAGGGGTCCCACACTGGCGCTGGAGACGCGGGGGAGGGGGGGGAGCTGCGACGCGGGAGAAACCGTTCGTGGCGGAGGGGGCAGTGGGCGGGGCCCCCGCTGGGGCGCTGGGGACGCGGTGGGCTCGGGGCAGAAAGCCACGGCGCGTGGGCCTCACACTGGCGCTGGGGACGCGGGGGGGCGGGGGGGGCGACGCGGGATAAAGCGTTCGTGGCGGAGGGGGCAGTGGGCGGGGCCCCCGCTGGGGCGCTGGGGACGCGGGGTGGCTTGGGGCAGAGAGCCACGGCGTGGGGGCCCCACTCTGGCGCTGAGGACACGGGGGGGGGTAGCGACGCGAAATAAAATGGTCGGAGCTCTAGACACCCTGTGCAAGAGAATAACATGGTCGGGGCGGAGGGGGCGGTGCGCTGGGCTGGGCTGCTGGGGAATAGGACCAGGGGGGGCGACGACGACGCCGAAATAAAGTGGTCGGGGCGGAGGGGGCAGCGCGCTGGGCTGCTCGGGAGAGGGGATGGGGGGGGGGGGGGCGACGACGACGCCCGAAATAAGTGGTCGGGCGGAGAGGGCGGCGCGCTGGGCTGCTGGGGAAAGGACCAGGGGGGGCGACGACGACGCCGAAATAAAGTGGTCGGGGCGGAGGGGGCAGCGCGCTGGGCTGCTGAGGAGAGGGAGAGGGGGGGGGGGGGCGACGACGACGCCGAAATAAAGTCGTCGGGGCGGAGGGGGCGGTGCGCTGGGGTGCTGGGGAGCGACACATAGCGACACATGTCGACACAACGCCGAAATAGGGCGACGACGACGCCGAAATAAAGTGGTCGGGGCGGAGAGGGCGGTGCGCTGGGCTGCTGGGGAAAGCGACACATGTCGACACAACGCCGAAATAGGGCGACGACGACGCCGAAATAAAGTGGTCGGGGCGGAGAGGGCGGTGCGCTGGGCTGCTGGGGAAAAGGACCGGGGGGGGGCGACGACGACGCCGAAATAAAGTGGTCGGGGCGGAGGGGGCACGCGCTGGGCTGCTGAGGAGGGGAGGGGGGGGGGGGGGTGGGGGGGGCGACGACGACTCCGAAATAAAGTCGTCGGGGCGGAGGGGGCGGTGCGCTGGGGTGCTGGGAGCGACACATAGCGACACATGTCGACACAACGCCGAAATAAAGTGGTCGGGGCGGAGGGGGCAGCGCGCTGGGCTGCTGAGGAGAGGGAGAGGGGGGGGGGCGACGACGACGCCGAAATAAAGTCGTCGGGGCGGAGGGGGCGGTGCGCTGGGGTGCTGGGGAGCGACACATAGCGACACATGTCGACACAACGCCGAAATAAAGTGGTCGGGGCGGAGGGGGCAGCGCGCTGGGCTGCTGAGGAGAGGAGAGAGGGGGGGGGGCGACGACGACGCCGAAATAAAGTCGTCGGGGCGGAGGGGGCGGTGCGCTGGGGTGCTGGGGAGCGACACATAGCGACACATGTCGACACATATCGACATATAGAGACATATATCGACACACGCATGTCGACGCATAGCGACACACAGCGACACATAGCGACGCACACATGGAGACGCATAGCGACACACAGCGACACATATAGCGGCCCATGAAGGGCATAAGGCACACAGCGACACATATAGCGACACATGAAGGGCACAAGGCAGCTGGGGGGGAGCGACGGCGACGCCGAAATAAAGTGGTCGGAGCTCTAGACACCCTGTGCAAGAGAATTAAACACACCTATCCACTCCGAATACATCCCTCTCCCTCTCAATGGTATGTATATTATCCAATCAGTGCTTGCACTGAAGAGGTTTTAGCGGGGGGGGGGGGGGAAAAGTTGGCGAAAACCCCCAGCCGATTTCGGTAGGCGGCCGGGTACCCGGCTTCCCGATCCTGGGTTCCCCAATTCCTGGTTGCTGGTTCCGGCCGATTTCGGTGGGCGGCGGGGTTCCCAAGTTTCCGGGTTCCCGGGTTCCTGGTCGATCTCCTTATCGATCGGTCTCACCGTCAACCTCATTACCCACCTCTCCATCGATCTCACTATCGATATCACAAAAGATTTCACAATCGATTTCAATATCGATCTCAAAATCGATCTCGGTATAGATCGCACGAGCGGTATCACTATCGATCTCACTATCGATCTCACTGAATCAGCTTCACGATCGGTCTCACGATCGACCTTACCATCGCCCTCACTATCGATCCAATTATCGATCTCACTATCGATCTCACAATCGATCTCAATGTCAACATCACTATCAAACTCACTACGGATCCCAGAATCGATCTTACTATCGATCTCACTATTGCTGGCACTATCGGTCTCACTATCCGACCACGGGACACCACGGGCCAGTTTGGGTATCTAGAGCTACATGCAGATATGAACACGTAGAGAATTTACACTTACATATGTGTAGACATACGTTCAAGTATGTCATATGTCCTTGCGACCAGGGAATGCACAGTCAAGCTACTAAGCGTTGCGTTTTACGGCGATGTTACAAGTATATTGGACAACATTTGGTTTGGTCGTTTTGCGGACCTGTTGGCCCGGCCCGTCTTGGGGTGACCTCGGCGCCCCCTCGTTGATCTTGGCGGCCCATGATGTCAGGAAAATCAATAAGAGCAGTTTCTTCGACCTCTCCTTTACGCCCTCGTGGAGCTCTCTTGGGCCATATCGGAGCTTCTTGGGCCAACGTTAGGCCATGAGAGCCTTCTAGGAGCCGTATAGGGCCTCAGGTTACTCTATCTTCCTTGATTTGGGATCTTCGCCGATCCCAAATAATTCCCGGAGGTGGACAAAAATTGGCGAAAGATCCCGCCCGATTTCGGTAGGCGGAAGGGTTCCCGGGTTCCCGATTCCAGGTTCCCCAATTCCTGGTTGCTGGTTCAGGCTCTATTTCGGTGGGCGGCGGGGTTCCCAGGTTTCCAGGTTCCCAGGT